GTCACCAACAATCCTCTTTTTAAAAAAATATAGTTGAAAAATATAATGCAATTTATGAATAGTTTTTTATAATATCTAGATCTATGTAATAATGTTCTATCAATAATACTCCAATAACACCACATAATTTAATTCGTATAAATCCATAATTTTCAATAATTCAAGGATTTCCAATTATTAAATTTATGATGGAATTTTTTGGAAAATACTCATCCTGATAGAGGGGCAATAAGATTTCTTTTTAAAAGCTTTCATGAATAAAACTCTCACTTTTGCTAAAATTTCAAGGTACCATGTCCATTTTTTTCGTCTCTTTTTCTTCGTCTCTTTTTCTTCACCAATCCTTACCAGAACTATTGAAATATTTCATCCCCAAACTTAAAGTAGGGCGGAGTAACATGGTCCAATTCGAACAGTTGCCTCCACTGAATCTTGAGGTACAAGATATTAGTGACATCTCAATCAAAGCAACCAACAAGTGGAGACATGACTATACCTCGTTGCATGATCTTTTATGGACAATAGCAAATAGTTAATGTGTTTTTTGGTTGTTAAGCCATATGGGATGGTCCCATGAAAACTCAACTATAATTGATTGTTCTTGATGTTTGAAGGTTGTCACAATTATGTAAATTTTGTTGTTGTTCAACACTAGTTATATTGAGCTAAATCTTGATTTTATTTTTTACTTTTAAAGAAATAATATATTTGGAAGAATTATTTATTAACATTGCTTGATTACAAAGACAAGGGTCATGATCCAAATGTGACGTAATTTACCATGTTTAAGCAGCCCATGTTTCTTTGTTACATTAATCCATCCAAGACTTCGACTCTTAGGGTAGATTGGTAATACAATAGGTAAAATTTAATTTTATTTTTTTATTTTTATAAATGTTATTCATTTCATATTTTTTGTGTTGAAGACTCATTCATTTTATCTTTACCAAACAAATCATTATAATTTTTATTGGATTAGTTGAAAAATACACCATACTAGACAACTTTGACATTTTTACAGAAGAAGCCGATCTAATGTTGTCTATAACTAATATTTCATAATATTAATAATAAATCCCTCTTACTATTGTATATTTTGATTCATAAAGTCACTTCTGTATCGTGATTTTTCTCTTCAACCATAGTCAAAATGAATGAAAATAATTTGTCCAATTTTTTTCTAGATTCAAATTCAAATAAACAAAGAGTAAGTGCCATTAATTTATTACCGGTTGGTCGACTCTATCTGTGAGCATTGTTTAATGCAATAATTTCAACTGCTGAAATTTATTCTACTTTAAGGAGATGTTTCTTTCTCAAATAGCTCAATGGAAGCGTTTTCTGAAATAGCTAAAAGTCGAACTGAATATTACATTGAGTGCCACCAAGAAAAAGTAAGAAACACAGAACAATATTGGAATATGCTACTTGTACGTGATGTTGTGTCCATCCCCCTCACATGGAACGAAACACACTTCAGATAAATTATATTTTATTCAAAGTAAGTTCCCCTCCATATGAAAGAGATGGACAATTTGATTTACTTGTAGTATAACCCAACAACGTTTATGTTTTCTATCAATATACCTAGTAGATTACACAGTAAGAGCCTCAAGGAATGACTTGGCCATTAGCACTATGATCGATCTTGAGATTCGGGGGGTTCGGTGTAACATTTTAAAATGGTGTCCCCATCATTTAATTAAAAAAAATATTATTTCAATAATATTGTTACATAACAAAAATATGACATTTAAATATTTGTTTATCTATTTACATTTATTTATATTTGTTGATGATATTCACAACCTCCTCATGCAAATTCATATGAGCAAACTTTGAAATCAAAAACAATAAGTACAACGTATGAACCTTGAAATGCAAGTAAGCAACAAGACAGACGGCAGAGTTTCTTCTCATCTCTGTTTGACCATTCTACGTGGGTTAAACGATGGAAGAGAGGGAAATGACAAAAAGAGATTTGGAGTTAGCTCTTCACTTTAATCATTGGAATATTGGGCTAATTATTGTCTTGTTGAGTTGGTAATTGATTAATGAAATTAATTGGGCATTTCAGATTGTACTCATAAAATATGTATGTTAAAATATTTTATTTTATTTTATTTTATTATTATATATTTTTTTTAAAGTAGAATAGTTTACAATTAGAAAAAATAAATATGTTTTCACAATAATATATTAAATTATAAAATATTAATGCAATATTAAATTTTTTTTACCTTTTTTTCAAAAATATTGTGCCATTTAACTGGACATAATAATAAAAAAATTTAAACATATGTATACACCTATAACAAAATTTTTATTGGTGCCCCTATAATGTTGAGATCCTATGTAATTGCTCAATTCACACACTCTCGTGACCGTCTCTAATTAGCACTAAATGTTTTCAAAATATATAACTTTCGAGTTAACAAGCATATTGACAATTCAACCTTCCTTTCCTTCGGAGCCTCGTTTAAAGAAAATTTCATACTTCTCAATCGATTGAGTACATTTAAATGAATGTTTGTTTTTCAATAGAAATTCTTTATTTATTTTGCACAAATTGCATGATTTCTGGTTCCAATCACAGTAATTTATTATGATTAAAATGCAATAAAATAATAATCTTGCTGGTTCCCAAAGTTAAAGGTTTCAATAATCATCAAATTTATACTATGATCACAATTTATTCAATTTTAAAATGCTTCACAATGCTCTCTGAACTTTATTCACCTGTACTCCATACATCACCTTAAAAAATTCGTTATCTGATTCGCTGACGCAAAATCTCATGTGGCAAGTTACGACCATAAAAAAATTACAAACCAGTCAAATCAATGTTTCATTACTTACCCAATTTATAGTTGATCGTGGTTTACTCATCAAACTTCAGAATATTTCCCAATGACCACTCATCTTTGAAACGTCGCATTCAAGCCATCATTCGCCAAATTTCTTTTCCTTCTTTTGCTAACATATCATAGAAAATCTCACGTTACTATCATTAAAAAATATAAAACTCGACCAAATCATCAACTCGCCAAGATCATCATATGAGAAACACAACTTTCATGGCACCATAAACTTCTTCAAGCCCCAATAATGCATCCAAAATTTCAACCTTAGATACCTTAGCCCTCGTTCACTCATCTCACATATGTCCTGCTAAATTGTATGCTGAGACATAGCCAGTTGTTGAGAATGATGCAAGAAACTACTACTTATAAAAGCCTATCCACCAATTGTACCATTTGCTCGGTGTCTCTCTAATCTTAATCATCATCTTTGAAGGCGTATTTCCAACTATTTAAGTAATGATGTCATTGAACTCTAGCCAAATTGATGAATGAAGAACAACAAATACAAACACAACCCATAAGGTATTCCAAATGTACACCAACATTCGGAGTTCGATGACATTTCATTCCTTAAATAGTTTGACACGCACATGCAAAAAAGGAAAATAGAATTAGAGAGACGTTGAGCACATAATACAATTAGGGTATCTGGCTTTACAAATAGTAACTCCTCGCATCCTTCTCAAAAATCAACTCTGTCCTTCTCAAAAATCAACTCTGTCTTATTACATAATTTTGTTGTACGTGGGTGTCATGAATGAATTGGGAGCTAGGGTTTCCTAAGATTGAAGAGAAGAACACTTTATTGGGGCTTAATAAAGAAATTTATACGACTTTAGAGGTCACGTTTCAGATATGGAGATTTTGGTGAGTCGATGATTTGGTTAAGTTGCAATCTTTTTTACGATTGTAAATTGTTGCGTGAGATTTTCATGCAATACATTAGCAATGAAGGAAACGAAAAACTGAGAAATGATGGATGGTGTGTAACATCTCAAAGATGAATGATCATTGGGAAGTATTTTGAAGTTTGATGAGTAAACTGTAACCAAGTATAATTTAGATGAGCAATGAAACATTAGTGTCAATAAGTTGCAATTAATTTAATGGCATTTTTGTGATTTTCATTAGACATCAATGAATAAAATAATGAATTTTTAGAGTGATTGATAGTGTAAACAAAAAAAGTTAAGTGAACAATTTGAAACAATTCGAAAATTAGTGAGTGAACAGTGACAATTTTATAAGGGCCCATTAGGCATGACTTTTGTTTTTACTTTTACTTTTACTTTTGCTTTTGCTCCATGAAAGAGCTTCTAAAGGAAGGTACCTTAATTTTTGTTTGAAAATTAATTTTTAAAATAAATTCATACTTTAGAACGTGCTTTTAGAGGAAATTACATTAGACCAACTTCCTCTAAAAACTCTCTTAACTAGAAGAAGTACTTTTATAAAATTAGTCAAACGGGTTCGAAAACTCCTTTCGACTTTTCAAAAATTATGCCAGATAGGCCCTCAGTTGAGTAATTATTGAAATATTTAACTCCAGGTTCCCATATCAGGAAAAAAGTGCAAAAGAGATTATAATATGCAAAAAAAGAAAAGAAAAAGAAAAAACCTTATTTTACTAATTAAAGGTTAAACACTTAAATTAATCTACTTTTAATCATTTTCCACAACCCAGATCTGTCCTTTTGTTATCTATCATTTGGGTGGATTAGTTATTGGATTACAAAAATGATCATGGTGCATGTTCTTTTCGTCCTTCTATATCCTCAATAGGAAGCAAGGTATAAAGATTAATCATTATTCCTTAGCTAATGCCTGATTAAAACTCTGGAGAAAAATAAAGTAGGGTTGACCAAAAGAACATGAATGAGGATTTAGATCCTCTGGAACAGAATCGGAATTTGAAGTGCCTATGCCATAAGAAGATTTAATAAAAGTTGAGTTCAGTTTCATAGAAGAGTAATTTGGAGTTATTTGTAACCGATTTCAATTATAATCGCATTCAAAATGAGTGGTGAATAAGTGGAGTGCTTGTGGGTAACGCAAAATATGCAAAGAATGAAGTACTTTTACCGACAAGGGCAAAGATTTACATAGTTTGTGGTACTAAGGATTGGATTGGTATAATATCAAAAACAAGCATGGATTTAGTATAAATTAAGTGAACAGAATATATATCACTATCACATAGTAGCACCAAGTGAGTTACACATATAACAAAACTCTAAATACAGAAAAGAATGGAGAATAGATACCAAAGCAACAAGTCCACAATGCACATCTATACTTTGTCCTACTATCTACTCAAAGCAAATCCCAGCTAAAACTAGATTGTTCTGGATTTATTGTCCTTGAAGCCACTGTGGATGATGAAGGGGCACCCGCCATCAACGGTGCAGGTGCAGAATCGAATGTTTCCCACTTTGTTGTTATCACAAAAGCTCCTGAGGTCGAGGGCGGCTTTTGTTGCTTCGGTGGTGAATTCATTAATGACAACCCGAAAGGATTCTGGGGTTGTTGCTGTTGAACGGGAGATGAAGCACTTCCATTTGAGTACCGCGATTCTTGAACTGGTGTCGAAACATGCCCATTTGAGTACTTCTGTTGCTGGTTCTGTTGAGTTGATGTTCCACTGCTAACGGGCGTCGAGCTTTTTATCTTCAGCGTATCAAGAATCTCGACGTACTTCTGCACTCGTTTCACCTTCAAAATAAGCAGGAAATAGGAAACTTTTAATGAGTCCTTCAACTATAATGTTCCAAATTGAAGAATTCTGTTTTTAAGTCCTCATGCAATAGAAATTTTTACCTGCATTTTCTTCTGTAATTTGACATCCCCATCAGCACTAATTCCATCCAATTTAAGCAGTTGATTCATCAATAACTCGATCAGATTTACTAAATCTTTTTCAGCCACTTTTCCACCTTTAGAAATTACAGATTCAAAAGCTGAAACCTACAAGTTGCAATCAAGGATACAAGTTCACTACAACCAGTTACTGCATAAATTCTTCTAAACCACTAGACAGTATTAAAATTTTGTCGACGAAAGCCACTGGAATTACCTGTCCACCGAACCTATCCACCTCCAAGCTGATTTCTGATATTGATTTTGCAGCCTTTTCCATTTTAGCATTTTTCCTCATCTCAAGATACCGTTTTTCTTGGCTAATTGGATCCTCTGTTAGGACAAGTTTCGATTTGTCCTTAACTCCTGCAGTATCAAGAAATGCATTGGAATCCCTCTCTTTATCTTTGTAAAATAACTTCTGATCCTGGTGGTGCAATCCCGTTGGCCCTGTTAACATCTTCTTCAACTCCCCTGAATTTCCAGAAAAACGCCTTCCAAGTTAATTGATTCCAAATCAACAATTACTCAATTCATATTGCAGTATTCAATAACAAAAGGAAGCTACAACCTTGTTCATACAGAAATCCAATGCAAGTCCATTTTAAATTAAGAATCAAGAAAATTAGCAATTAATACTAACTACTGAATGAGTATTGAAAAGGAGTTATTTGTTGGAAATTACCGAAGGTAGCTTGAGAGCTGATATGAATTTGGTGGTAAATCGACCCGTATTTGACCCGAACCCGAATAGTTGGTGGTGGTGCCTGGTTTTCGTCAGCATCAGTACGCTTCTGAACCAGCATTCCACCAGGCCTAAGTTCCCAAGCATCAGTATTACCGCTACCACCTCGGCCGCCACCGCCACCAGCGGAACTCTCATTCATTGGTGGCGTCCCATTACTTTTAGTCTTCATTCGCATCATTTTCAATAACAAAAATCTCCTACCTAATTACACCCAGCTGGAATTGCTGATGATTATTTGAATTTGACTCAATTAAATTCAGATCAAACAGTTGATTCATACATATCCCATCTCCGAGTTGAGACAAAATCCCAGAAAGTCACGAATTCAAAACTGTAGCCACGCGTCCACAATGAGAATTTATATCTATAAACCGTAACCGTAACTGTATGTAATACAGTTATTGTGTATATATATGTAACCCTGTAGCGAGAGAGGGTAGATATGAATTTTTCACTTCAAATTCTGAAGAAAAATACAAGTCAAACCTGCGAATCTTGAATGCAAAACAAGATCGCGAGAAATGAATTTGATTTTGTGACTTTAAGTTGAAATTTGGAGAGAGAGAGAAAAAAAAAAAAAAAAAGGAAGGGGGATTTTCAGATCTCTTACAAGAAGGCTGGAATGTAGAAGAAAGAATCAATTGTTGCGTGAAATCTGCCAAGAATCTCGACTCTTTAAATCTTGAAACTCCAATTAACCTGATGGAAAAATAAAACCCAGAAAACAATGGGAAAAAATCAGATTACGAATTTTAATTAATCTTCTCTCTCTGAATATGGAGAAGGCTCGGGGAAGTAAAAGGAGAGAGAAGGAGGAGAAAATATGACGCACAAAAATTTGTATGGACACTGAACAGAACAGAACATTGAACGCAGATTACTATATAAATAAATAATTAATAAATAATAATAATTTGTTCAGATCAAATAAAAAAGTTTATAAATATGTAAGCAGCCATTCAAAGGCCGCCGAAGCCAGTGTTCACCGATAATGGAAACGAATTACATCTCAACATTGCAATAGGGTTTGTTAGACCTAGTTGTGTCACGAGCATATTTGATACAAAATATAATAAGAAAATTGAAATTTTAATTTAAGTCAAAGTCGTTAATTAATTTTAATCATAAATTTGATAGAATTTTTAATCATACGTTTCATCAACTTTTATAAAAATTTGATAAAATCCAATTTTAATCCATTTCAACCCGGGGATGGATAATGTGTTTATTCCTTTTTAGTAAGCATATGTTTGGTAATCTTGGTCGAAATCAACAATTTAATCACATATTTTATGAAATTTATAACCTTCCAGTCACACATTTCACTAACTTATATCAAAATTTACTAAAAATCTAACTTAATTTTCAACAAATAGGGGTTAAATATAATATAAATTGTTAGATCTAGAATAACCTTACTAATCTATGCATCCTTTCTTGTGCATGAATCCAATTTTATTTTTTTATTTTTTAAGAAAAATGAAATGCTATGTTCCATCGGTTTCTCCTTAAGAACAATCGGCTCCTTAGGATGGTACACCTCTCTCTGATCCCCAGGCCTATCAGCGTACTGTTTGGGCAATGACATAAAAATAAGACTGACCAGGCTTTCGGACTTACCACCCGAACAAAGACAATACCCTAGGATTAATCCCCAAATGGAAATGGGTGACGGATTCCCTGAAAGCATTTTTCAAATAGTGAAGGCAAATTTCCATATTCTAGTTCTCACTCTGTTTAGGGGACCCCCCCTCACTATCTGTCCCTTTGTTTTCTAGTCTATAGGTCCAATTTCATCTGCTAGTGCTTTTTTTTGAAAGATCAAAATGTGCAATAATTTCACAAATGAGTAAACTTATTAAACTAAATATATATATATATATATATATATATATATATATATATAGAGAGAGAGAGAGAGAGAGAGAGAGAGAGAGAGAGAGAGAGAGAAAAAAAAAAAATTTATTAAAGGGTATTTTTGAACGATTGTACTACATGTACATAATATTTATATACACATTAATATGATAAGATATGATTGGATCAGAGTTTTTTCAATCAAATAAAATAAATTTTTAGTATCTTTTTGATGCATCATCTGTATTTAAATCACTACGTAATTCAATATAAATAACCTTATTTATTTTTAAACAAAATAATTCATTTGTATTCTTGTGGAGGGTTGACCGCTCGAAAAATATGTGGAATAGGATAGTAACATGTGGCGGCCATAAGGGTATTTTAGGAATTTGAGGTGTCTCTAATCATTGTGCAGTTAATTATTACAATTTACAAAGTAGGACAGATGTCTGTTGCTGTCGAATGACTGCGAAAAGCCGGTGGAAAATCCTAATGGATCAATCCCCGTGAATTTTCACTTAACATTCAAATATATGGTTTTTTTTTTTTTTTTTTTCCTTTTTTTTTTTGCTTTTTTTGGGTAATTGAGTCATTGGCTCTAGTATTAAAGAACAATATTATTTACCATCAGTCAATATAGGCATTGTTTGAGTCGCATTATTTGAAAAAAAAAAAATTTTTAATTGTAATTTGATATCATTTCAACATCATATTTTTTAATAAAATAGTATTACACGCAAATTTAAAAATTTTCCTTATTTTTTAACCACACATTCTCCATCAATATACTATTTCATAATACATTCTTCAAAAATAATGTGCCACATAATTAACATTGTAGGTGATAGTTTACTTTAGTTCATAATTTATTGTTTAGATAAAGATGGAGTTAAAATGTACTTCATTAGTCCCATGAAGAGAGACATATTTTCCCTTTTCCCTTATCTCAAATTATTAGTGTGTGTGTGTGAAAATGAAAACAAATCTATCTTAATGAGACGACATGAATATTTTAATGCATTCTACAATAATCAAGAAACTCAACGTCAGCTAAAGTACTGATATTCATTACCGTGAATAAATAAACTTATCTAACATGAAAAATATTTAACTTAAAAATTTTGACCTTTTCACAAGGGATTTTTAGCCTTTTAAAAGAAGCTATTTTTGCATTGTAGTTACAACATATGAAGAAACTTCTATTCAATATTTTTCATTTGAGTTACTTGAGTTACAACATATAAAGACGCTTCTATTCAATATTTACTTGAGTTACAACATATGAAGAGACTTCTATTCAATATTTTTCATTACTTCTATTCAATATTTTTCATTCAATTCTAACAATCCCCCACATGAATAAAAAATGGAAACTAAGACTCAAGAGGAAAGAGAGTAAAACGAATCAATCCTGCATAGGATAGGTAGCATTTAGTTTTGAACTTTCCCTTATGAAACCTATCGGGAATTACTAACAAACCAGTGGATCTGATGCCTTGAACTGTTTCGCCATTTGTGTAAACCAAGACAATAGATCTCGCACAGGACCATTCTAGTCGCAGCGTAGTTCTTACTGTTGTGTTCGTTTTGGCCATGAACAGTCGCCTAGTTCTACAAGTGTTTTTCAAGGATGTAGCCTTGTCAATCCTTATAGAAGCGGCCCCACTTCACACTCACATAGATGACCTCTTAACTCAATTTTTCACAACAACGCTTAATGGTCATTAAAAGCATAGCTTAACCTGCATCTTCCAATCACTGTGAGCACCATAGGAATGAGCAGAAGGAGAACATTCTCAGTGATTTACAAAGATATACATGTTTTATTTGTCCCTTTGAACCTAGATCCTAGGATCTCCATTCAGTTAGGTTGGGTTTCCACCATGATACCTTTCAACGTCATAGGCTGCAAGCCCATTCCCCTCGATGCTTTTACAACTAGCTCTCGAGTTAGCCCTTTGGTTAACGGATCCGCAATATTATCCTTTGACTTCACGTAGTCCAGAGTGATAATACCTTGTGAGAGTAGTTGTCGAATGGTATTATGTCGTCTTCGAATATGGCGAGACATACCATTATACATATTGCTCTGTGCCCTGCCAATTGTTGATTGATTATCGCAATAAACACAAATTGCAGGCACAGGCTTTGACCATCTTGGAATATCCTCAACAAACTGACGAAGCAACTCTGCTTCTTCAGTTGCTTTGTCCAAAGCGATGAACTCTGATTCCCTTATAGATCTTACGATGCAAGTTTGTTTGGACGATTTCCAAGAGACAGCTGCACCACCAAGAGTGAAGACATATCCACTAGTAGACTTGGTATCTGACATATCTGATATCCAATTTGCATCAGCATATCCTTCGATTACTACAGGGTATCTAGAATAGTGCAGTCCAAAATCACGAGTATGCCTTAAATAATGTAGAACCCTAAAAATAGCTTTCCAGTGAACAGCACCTAGGTTACTCGTGTAGCGACTCAATCTGCTAACTGAGTATGTTATATCCAGTCTCGTACAAGTCATTCAATACATTAAACTCCCAATTATCCGAGAATATTCTAACTTTGATACACCATCATCAGTGTTCTTGGATAAGTGGAGACTCAAATTCCACTGGAGTCCTGGCTACAGTGGTATCTAACTTATTGAACTTGTCTAGTATCTTATCAATGTAATGAGATTGAGATAACACAAGTCCATTTGGTGTTCGAGTAATTTTTATTCCCAAAATGACATTCGTGAGACCCATATCTTTCATGTTAAACTTCGAATTTAACATATTGTTAGTGACTTTGATAATCTTGTCAAAGCTACCGACAATTAGCATGTCGTCAACGTATAGACCTAATATGACATATCCATCATTAGTGTCCTTAACATATACACACTTGTCGCACTCGTTGATTCTAAAATCACTAGAAAGCATAGCATTATCAAACTTCTCATGCCATTGCTTCGGTGCTTGCTTCAAATCATACAGCGATTTAACCAGTCTACAAACTTTCCTTTCTTGACCTAGAGCTGTAAACCCCTCTGGTTGCTCCATGTAGATTTTTTCATTCAAATCTCTATTTAGGAAAGCTGTTTTTACATCCATCTGATGTATTTCCAGATTTCGCGAGGCCACAATAGCAATTATCATCTGGATAGAGGTTATTCTCGACACGGGAGAATAAGTATCAAAGTAATCTACGCCTTCCTTTTGCTTATAATCTTTAATTACTAGCCGAGCTTTCTATTTATCAATGGAGCCATCCGCTTTCATCTTCTTCTTGAAGATCCACTTGTAGCCCAAAGGCTTACAGCCCGGTGGAAGATCTACTAACTTCCAAGTATGATTCTGTAGAATGGAATTGATTTCACTTTTGATGGCTTCTTTCCACAAATGACCATCTGGGGAAGATATTTATAGCTTTGAGGATCATTCTCCATCAAATATGTGAGAAAATTAGGGCCTAATATCTTAGAAATTTTGGTCCTTTTGCTCCGTCTAGGCTCGTCCTCACCTTCTTCAACTGGATCGTTACTGCTGTCAGAAGCAGAAGATTCCATTGTCCATTTAATATGAGTTAACTGTTTAGGAGACTTACAAGGAAATATATTCTCAAAGAACTGTGCATTCCTAGACTCCATAATCGTGTTGGGATGAATATCAGGTACATTCGAATAATTCACAAGGAACCTATATGCACTACTATTTTGTGCATAACCAATGAACACACAATCAACTGTCTTAGGTCTAATCTTGACCTTCTTAGGAGGAGGCACCACAATTTTAGCAAGACACCCCCACATTCGTAAGTATTTATATGAAGGTGTCCGATTTGTCCAAAGTTCATACGGAGTCTTATCCATATTCTTTCTTAACACTTTATTCAAGATGTAATTTGCGGAAAGAATAGCTTCTCCCCACATATTCTGTGGTAATCTAGAACTAATCAATATAGCATTCATCATTTCCTTTAAAGTTTTATTCTTACGCTCAACAATTCCGTT